ATTTGTTAAGTGCCTATTACGTGCGAGATGCAACAGTCATCCCCATCTGGCAGGATCTGCACCCATGCCTTCCCTCCAAGTCCAGCTCTCTTACAACCCTGAGGCTTGTGCCAGTTATAAGACTCGGAGCTAAGAGAAGCCTTAGAAATCACCAGCATCCTTTTAGAGGGAGACAATTAAAACCCACAGATGCTAATGGACGTGGCCCAGGCCAGAAAGGAATCCAGCCTGTGTCCCTTGTAAGAAGTGACAGGGATCATCTCCCACCTGACGGATTCAGCGAGGATGTCTTTACTTCTGACTCTTCAAATACTAAATCAGCAATAAGCACATGCTCAATAAGGGGACAGTTCTAAGGAACTGGGAAAACAAGCTCTTCAGGTTTTGTTTCTCAATTAAGCCTTTTTCCTGAAATCATTAAGTGCAAGAGACTTCACCCTCACTGCAACCTAAGAGTCGGCAAAGTGACTTGCCCAGGGTCACACAGCCCACAAGCGTCAGAAGAGGCTTGAACCCAGGTCTTCCTGGCTTCCTATGCCCCATGCTACATACAACTGCCCCTCAAACACAATAAAAAGTAAGTTACTAAGTTAAAATTGGTGGTATGGGGGCAGCTAGGTGGCGCAGTGGATAGAGCACCGGCCCTGAAGTCAGGAGGACCTGAGTTCAAATCCGACCTCAGCCCAAACACTTGACACTTAACTAGCTGTGTGACCCTGGGCAAGTCACTTAACGGCAATTGCCTAAAAAAATAAAAAATAAAAAAAAACTGGTGGTAGTAAAATCATTCAAAAAAATCAAACGTGTACCTCACAACAGTTTCTTCTGACTTCATCTAGCTGGCTGATTTCTACACATAAAAGTTGTACCTCATACCCAAGTTACAATTTTTGAGTGCCTGAAGGCCCTGTGGGACTCTTCCATAAACCTCCTCCTAATCCTTCTAACAATGGCATCTTTCAGCATGACAAAGTACATTCCCACTGCCCATATATCTTGGTCTTTGAAGTTTCCTTCCAATTCCAGGGTCCTGAGAATTACCGCCATCTTTTCAAGTGGGGCTTCCTCCAGGCTGCCATGGCTGAGAGCCCATTAAGCTGCACATGCACACACTGACCAATGTGGGTTCCCGTACCCAAACAGTTCTAATGATGCAGCCTAATGCATTCTAGTTTGTGAGGCACTCGCTCCCTTCTTTTCGGGCTCCTGGATCTCTTCTTGACATCTGAGCTGGAAATGAAGGATCTTTCAAGAACACTCTGGGGATTTTCTGAAGGTCCGAGGCAGAGCATTCATTAGGCTTCTCTTCCCTGGGCTCTACGAGCTCTATTGTGTGCCTGTTTCATTCAGTGCTGATGGAGCCTGTGGGCCTGCCTGGCCGTTTGTCTCCTCCGTGCAGAGCTCCATTTCTATGCCTCTAACACAAGGATCCAACAACTGAACAAGGAGCTCCAAACCATTCTTCCACCTTGCTAACAAATTGCATGGTATATATGAAGAATAAATTAGCATTAATTTTCTCCAGTTAACTATTAATAAAACATGCTCATGAGCTCCTTCTTCAATTAGGGCCACCTTAGCTTCCTCCCTCGGCAAATGAAATACTAAGGATTTCCTCACTTTCCCCCCCCCCCCCGCTATGCAATTGTCCTCCAGCCTTGCCTGTGCCTCACCTCCCACACGCTAAAGCCCTAGGTCAGGGGCCCCATTCTTCTGGTGAAGTGTACTAGACAGGACTCCTTTCAGATCCCATCAACACCCCTCCTTAATTAGCCAAAGGGACGTCGACTGTGGAACACAAGGCGAACGCTCTCTCTCTCACTCAGAAGCAGAGTGCTGTCTCTGAGCCACATTCCACCCACAGAGCCAAGGGCAAGAAATCAAACCCAGGCCTGTCTCCTCAGGGCAGGACAGCACTGGCCTGGACACCAGCTGGTTTTCCACAGTCTGCTCTTATTTTCATTGTGGGCCACTAAAGATAGATGGGAAGATATATGGATGGATAGATAGAGGGACAGACAGACGGACAGACAGACATTAAAGTTCTTTCAGAGTATGTAAAACAAAGTTTCTATTAATGTGGAATGGAGTGCACTCTTACTTCTTTGCATACCAATTGGAGGAAAGCAATTCTGATGCCAAAGAAAACGTAATTATTGATATCAGTCCTTAAAAACTGTCAGTTTCTATGGGGCTCTCTTTGCATGTCAATTTCCTTCAGTAGAGATTTGCATTACTGTACTATTTTTTTTAATCCGGGAATTCAAACAAACCATATATGCAGAGAATGATTTGTTTTTGTACTCAACCACATATGATGCAAAGAGAGAAATAAATAGGTAACATAGCGCAGGTGACAAGGAAGAGCAAATTCAAGCCTACGACATTTGAGAAAATCATTCAAGAACAGTTTGTCTTTATTTAAAAAACGGCTTCAGGGAAGCTGCCAAGGTCAGTGTCAGGTTGGATTCTCAGCTGCACAAACGCCCCTCTCTCAAAGCACTCTTGCTTGTGCACCTGGCCTAAAACAAAATGTTCTGACAAGTTTCTGTTTGTTAATTGGTGTGGCTCGCCCATTCAGGGCTCAGATCCCCTCGGACTTCCATAGGCACTTCCTGAACACAGAAGCAGCCTGGTAGGCAGCAGAAACATCATAATGAAAAGCAACAATTCTGTCAAGTCCCATGGAAGAGCCTCGTTTGCATTTCAAACAAGTTCCCCCCAAATGAGAGCTTCTTTTGATGAAATAAAATTACAATTCCAACTCCTTCTCCATAGCAAGCAGCACTCACACTACAAAGATTGCTGCCACTCAGTAACGCTCCATCATTCCTTCCACGCACTCACACACCCCGTTAGTTGATCTAACAATGCCCAAAGACTTTAATAACGAGGGTGTCTGCTTTGCGCCTTACATCTCAGTCACCAGGGGACACTGACCGGCTGGGTTTTCGAGGGCTTTTGGTGTGATTTCGAGGTATTAATTTCTGGACCACATTTTGTGGAGCCTCCCTCTGCTCGGATCTGGACCCCTGGGGTCCGTTTTGCAGCCGGATTCATCTGGTTAGAAAAGACCAGGACTGCCTTTCCCTGGTCCTTTGTCTCACGTCACCAAGAGCGCCTCTGCAACACCGTGTCTAATGGGGGGAGCGGGGGCATCACAGAGCCATGTCCCAAGCACGCTGTGTGCCAGCCAGGGATCAAGGATGACCCAAGAGGGTACTGGAGAGGGCCAGCGTTGGGTACCGGTGCTTTAATGCAGACCACACGCCGACAGCTGTAAGCAGCAGAAAAGTCTATGTTTCGTTTTCCTACTTCTGCATCTGAAAGCCAAGGAAGTTCACGGGAATAATTCTCCGTAAAGATCAGAGTATGTCACTTTAGTCACAAAGCCGTCTATTTATCCAGTTTGGTTACATGACCAGAGGTAACGGTTCCCTTGACCCTGCTCGTCTTTCACACTAGCATCCTTGATATCTCTGCTCCCGTTTGGAGCCAAATTCCTAGAAAAAAGCCGTCTGCATTTCCTCAACACCTCACTCACTTCTCAGCCCCTTGAAACGTGACTTCCCAATGCCCAGGCTTCGACCTTCTCTGACCATCCTTGACCTCTAACCGCTCAATCCCATCATTTTTTCAGTCCTCTTGGCTTTCTCTGATTTCTGTCACTGTTAATCAGACGCCCACCACCCTCCCATCCATTCTTTCTCCTTCCCTGCTTTTTCTGGCTTCTCCCACCTAGCTTCCTCTCTCTTCTCAGGGTCTCCTCTGCCCTCCTCCTGATGGGCAGCTAGGTCCTACTGAGAAGCATGAGTACATGAAAGGGGCCCCTCCACTGACTTGAAAGGATCATCTTTATGCAGCAGACCCTCCCTTCCTTCTCTCTCTCCTGAACCTCATTTCCACCTGAATGTCACTCAACTTATCTAAAATGAAATTCATCACCTGTCCCCTTAAATCCAGCATCCCTCCTCCTAATGTTCCCATTTATCGAGGGCACCATTATTCACATTTCCTGGCTCCCTATTCCCTCCAGGATAAAAGTTTCTTCTTTGGCACCTCTAGTCCTTCCCAGTCTGCTTGCAGCCTACCTTGCCAGACTTACTCACATTCTCCCTGTCTGTGTAGGCCACGTCCCGCCTGGACAGGGCGGCCCCACTGCTATTCCCCACAGACAGTATTCTATCACCCTTGTCCATGATGTTGCCAAGAACAGCCCCTCCTTCCTGGAATATATTCCCTCTTCTCTTCAGCCTCTTACCATCACCAGCTTCCTTCAAGGCTCATCAGCTCAAGCGGCACAAGGCCCTTCTGACACCTCCCCCCTCCCCAAGTTGCTCGGTCTCTCAATCCCTGAAATGAGGCAGCACTAGCACCGGTTGGGGAGGCATGGATGAAGGCAAGGCACCCACATCAGTGAGGCCCCAGATCCACTGGCCTCGTGGAGGACTCTGCGTGTCCTCTGCATTTACGCATCAGCTGCCCAAGGTGGAGAATGAGCTCCACAGTGGGTGTAGATCAGGCCTGAGTTCTGCTACTTCTAACATAAGCTGGCTACGTAATGCAGCCATCGCTTCACTTCTCAGTGAATTCTTGGTGCAATTTGAGGCAACCCTCCCAGGCCGTGAGCTGCACAGAAAATGCTGACCTGTGTCGGCAGAGGGAATTTCCTCATCAAAAGGGGTGGGGCCTTTCTTTGTACTCCCATCATGTAGCATGACCCGGCACCCAGCAGCCTCTCTGTAAAGGTTACTTGGCTGCCTGGCCGGGAGCTCCCGAGATCAGAGAATTGCCAGGGATGTGCCCAGTCCCAAGTGGAGATGTGCTCCACCTGCCAGCCACCAGGAGAAGGAAAGCTCCTTGAGGTCAGGGACCATTCTGTTAGTTTATCCTGGCAGTTCCAGTCCCATGCAGAGAGTAGACACTTAATAGGTGCTTGCTGAATTTAAGTACATTCATCAAATTTTCAAAAACGTTTAATAAGGTTTGACACATTTCAACCTAATTTCTTTGGTTCTTTTTTTTTTTTTTTTTTTACAACACTGACTATAATTGCATTTCCAGGCCAGGAAAGGCTCCAGGGGGGCAAGAACTATGTCTTGGCCAGATTATCTCCCCTCCTGACGCTTCCTTCACTGGCAAGCCAAACATTAAAAGACGAATGATCGCTCTTCATACTGACCATGGGTACAAGCCAAGCATGTCCTCTCAAAGGTAACCTTCAATGTTCATCAGAAAAAAGAAACAAAACGAACTTCCTAAAGCAGCAAAAAGGATGCAGTTTGAGGCTGACTCACTATCGGCTCTTTGTGGAGTAGTATTTGCCAAATGAATTATCATTCTGTTCGTCGTCGATGTAATCTCACATGTCCCCAAACTGCAGCCATTCCAAGGAGGTACAAAGAGAGTGCCCCATCTCCATACACCAGAGCCCCGAGCTCCGCCATCATCTCCTCTCGCTAATCTGGCCTCCGACGCTTGGGCTTTGAATCCCACCCTACTCATCTCTTTCTTGGAAAAGCTGGAAGAAAGAAACAATAGCAAGTGAGGCAAGCCGAGAAGGGGCAGACCTGCTAACACGGACTGGCCCTCCCATCAGTGAGCAGTCCTCCTCTTCTAAGACGCCATGAACTCCGGCTTTGAAGGCTCCACCGGGAGGACAAAGCTCGGGCAGGGCCTGCCCAGAGTGGAAAGGCTTCTTCCAGAGGCCTGGTAACCAACAGGTGAGCTCTCCTGCAAAGCCTAACCCAGCTAGGGCTGGAGGGGCACAACATTAGGGAGATCAGAGGAACAAAACAAAAACCCACTGATGTAGAAAGGGGCTGCAATCTGCACCGGTAGAAAGAATATCCACTGACAAGAACACCATCTTCACAGCTGCGAGGTCTACGGATGGTTCGGTTTCCCCATTAGCCTCTAAGTCCTTGTCCCGCGCACCCCAAAGCCCAGACATCGATCCCAGGAGGCGTTCCGTAGTCAGTCCCTGCCTGACTTCCGTCTTTGTCTTGACATACCCATTACAAGGCAGGAGCAGCCTCTGCCCAGCACCGCACGAGTGCCTACAGAGTCCCTGCCTCTTCTGTTTACTACCCAGGTGACCGCAGGCAAGGGTCATGAGCACTCTGAGACTCACTGAGAAGACGAATGCTTCTGTCTGTACTGCTCACTTTGTAAGCCCTTGAGAGCTGCAGAAATGGGAATTACTGTTGAGCTGCCATTTATACACCAGGCACTGCTCAAAGGTAGTTCATTGTAGGAAAAAAACAGAAATCCTAAATCAAAAATAAGTGGCATTCTTTACTAGCTATAATTAAAAAAAAAAGTCTTAATAAAAAATAGAAATAACAGATTTTTTTTTAAAATTCTGAACCTAAAATGGAGTTTTGGTCAAGTCTTGGTAAATAGCAATGTTCAAAAAATTACACCAAGACACAGAATTAAAACTATAAAGTTACTTTACTGCTTTCACATTTTAAACTGTTCAGCAATTACAAAGATTTGTTTTAATCAAAGAAGAAAATATGTGCATCCCAAATATAAGATATATTCAAAATAATTCTGTCAGTCTCTCCAAACCAGCCCCGTGCAGGTCCAGGATTTCTCACTGCCCCACTGTAAGTATTCGGTATGTGCAGCCCCCTATTTTGCCATGTACTGAGGAATGATTTGCTGACATGTCTATCTCTGTCAGAATGAATCTGACATTCAGGCTTTTTCAAAAGGAAAATTGATTTGTCCAGAGAAAGACCTCACTTTTTTTGGAAAACCAATGCTGTTACGCTGTTTCCAGATCTCCCTCCAAAGGTAAACGTGGGTGTTGGCAATTCTTCCAGAATTTCAAATCCTGTAGGACAGAATTAAAATGCTTCCATTAGGGCTGACTCTTGTCTTAACACAGAGGCATCATGTCAGCACTCCACTGACCCATTCTTTACAAAGCTAGGTGATTCTACCAAGCAACCTGGAGTTGAGCCTTTACTATACAACTTCCTGATGCCACCATGCCCAGCCCTCCAAAACTGTAAGTTGGTCAGGGCCAGGAAAGGACAGAAAGTCAGCATCTGGGTCATCCTGCCATAGTTCAGACATTCACCCATCTTCAGTTCCCTGCATTCTCATTATAACCCAACTTACTTGATCTTTTTTCCCTGAGTTTTGAAACACAGAAAGAGATACAGCTAAGAAAACAAGCGTAACTCAGCAGAAATGGAAACTAAATCAGTAAGTATGGTGGAGGCAGGGGTTAGGGCCCAAATGGGAAGGACCAGGCTAAGGAAAGGCTGGACTATGGTTTGTTACATGCCATACTCTAAAGCTCACAGTGAATATTCCACACATACTTACTAGCTTTCTGGAATCGGATGCTACACACCAACTACAGCAAGCCAACAACCAACTAACCGCCATGCTATCCGATAACAACAAACCACACTAGATACCCTGCAGTCTTTCCAATAAAATGACCTAAGGAGTATTCAACTGCGAGGAAAGGGAGCTCTGTCCCTTTTCCTGGACTATTCAACCGCCAGACCAGGGTTTTCTCTTGTTTCCCCCTTTCACATCATTAGCCAGCGCCAAGCCAAGAAGCGCAAACTCATGAATGTTATGAAAGAAGATATGTGGGGGCTTCATCCTCGAGGGGACAGAAAGGAGTGACCTTCACCTCAAACAGAGGAAAAGGTAAATGCTTGAAAGACAATCGAGGCAGAGTCATTTGTAGTAGCTTTGAGTAAAAACCAGTCATAAACAGAAAAGAAACCACAACCTAAGCAGTTGTTCTACACATAAGTGAGCTTGGGACAAAATCCAGAGTTGGCTGGTGATGAAAACCTGAAGCAGGATTCGTATTCATACACTCTTTCAGCATCCTGTGTGGAACTCCAGGGATCACTTTCAAAACACTCAGGCAAACACATCGATATTTTCGACTACACTACAGAGTTCTCTAACATCTCCAGCGCCTGCCAACAACAGCACGACTGAAAGCTACACTTAATAAGCTCTGACACCCAAGTCTATTAAGCCTTTATTCAATGTACTTCTTAAAGGCACCTTTCTCAAACCCATTTTTTCACTCCCTAAGCCGGTTCCTCATTATCAAGGACAGACAAGGACAAGTTTTGTCTGACAGCTCCAAGAGGGAAAAGAGAAGACGTGGTAGCAAATGGGTACCAGAGGGGACTCACTCTAACAGGCAGCAGGAATACCTGAGTATTTATTTTAAATGCCACGATGAAGGGGCAAAAGAGCTGCTACCATGTGGTCTCAACGGGCATCACGACAAATCTTAAACCTGGGAGATACACTTATAGACAACAGCAATGAAGCCAGGCATTCCCAGGTCAAGCTTCAAACACATTCAAAAGTGGGCAACCAGGTTCCAGCACTTGGTACCTGAGAGTCATTGACTAGACACAAAAGGTCCTTGTTAAGTCAGCCCATAGGGCTGCGGCTTTATTACTCAAATGAAAAGCATCTTGACTTGAAGAAGGCAGGATGCACATGCTAATCTATCACTGCTACAGCAGGTGGTTTGAGTTCTCAGAGGGGGACGCCGCCTATGTCGTACTTCAGCTACGCACCCGAAAAACACAGCCCGCCCACCCACCTCCACCCCCTTACAATAAAATGGACAACTGGTCTGAAGAAAAAACTAAAGAAAAGCCTGGCACAAAGATTCCCAAGGAAAGTGTAACTTCCCTGGGAATGTCTCCATGACAGAAATGACCAAGAACAAATACAATCACTACTATGTACTTCCAAAGATTTCAAGGCATTTCACATCAATTAAATGTTCCCTTCTCACAATGCCCCCCCCCAAGTAAACAGGGAAGATCTATTTCCAGCACATTTGGAACTTTGCCATAAAGTTGCTAGGCTGTGCACTGCATACCCAGAGACACCACTACTAGGCCTATAACCCAAAAAGATCAAAGAAAGAAGGAAAGGACCTATATGTAAAGAAATACTGACAGCAGCTCTTTTTGTAGTGGCCAAGAAACTCAGGGGATGCCCATCAACCGGAAAAGAACTGAACCAACCATAGGGCGTGAAGGCAATGGCACCTGAAGAAACAACAAAAAGGATTATTTTGGAGAAGCCTGAGATAATCTGATGCAGAGTGAGGTTAAGTAGAACCAGGGCAATAATTTCCACAATTACAACAAAATTGTAAAGATAAACAACTCTGCAAGACTTAAGAACTCTCATCATTTCCCTCAATGTGTGTGTGCACATGCACATACAAGTGTGAACACACACTGCTAACCAGGCACAAGAACCGTCCCAGAGAATCGCTTCAGGCCAAGTTGCTGCAGACCTTCCGCCTGGAGATCATAAGAAAACAGTCTCTGGCACAACCGTCCTCTCCTCTTAGCATTTCAAAGATCCCTCCCCAAGAGTCCATCCTGCCATGAGGCAGAGCCCTTGGGGGCCAAGGTAACAAAAAAATGGCTGCACAAGATGTGGCAGAACGGGCAGGCACCCGCAAGGTGCCGAGATCGTGGTAATGAGCCAGACAGAAAGACAAGAGAAAACAAGAGCATAGAGGGTCAAACAGTAGAAAGTGTCAAGAATTCAGACAAAACAGAAACAAGACCTTTTAGGAAGGCCCTCTCGCCTTGGAAGCAAGAAAGGCTTGTTGAGGACAGATTCCTGGAGATGAGAGGAGCCCAGAGAGCCTCCCAAGCATGGAGGCCTTGAATGGCGATGAGGGCAGGTGAAGGGCTTTAGGTAAGGCACAGCCAGGAGGCCCAGATGACTACAGGCCGGGCACGGAGCCATCATGCAAACAAAGACTGGAAAATGAGTCTGGAGCCAACCCTAGGAAGGGCTACAGGAGAAGTGAATCACTCAAAACAAGGAGACTGAAAGACAAAAAGACCATTCCAGTCGACCAGGCAAGAGACGATGAAGGCTTGAACTAAGGGGTTGGCGGTGTGAGTAGAGAGAGGAGAATATAGTTAAGAGATGCCAATTAGTCAGTCAACTAATGATAATGATAATAATGATGATGATGATGACACCTAACATTTATAAAGTAGCTACTATGTGCCGGGCACTGTCCTCAGTAGCTGACAAGTATTATCTCATTTGATCCTCATAATAACCCTGTGTCACGGGTGCTATTATTATCCCTACTTTACAGGTGAGGAAAGTGAGGCAAATAGAGGTTAAATGACCCACCCAGGGTCACACAGCTAGGAAGTGTCTGAGGCTGGATTTGAACTCGGGTCTTCCTGACTTCAGGCCCAGCGCTCTGTGCATTTATTAAGCGCCTATCCTGTGCTAAGTACTGCCTATTGTTTCTCTGTGACAAGAAATGGCCACATAAGAGTGACATGAGAAAATGTTCAATTTCCTCCTAAACTGACATTCCATGCACCGCTAAGTACCATTCCTATGGCTCTATAAATACAAGAGCAAAATAAGAACAAAACTCCTTGATGTCTCCCTCTCCCTCAAACTAAAAACTCCATGACATCCAGGGGTCAGTGAAATAAGACTCATCAAAGCGTGTGGCACAGAACACTCACTTACTCATTTTATTCTCTGAGCCCGACGATTGGAGAGCCAGGACGTGGAGGTCCATGGGGGCCAAGTGTTTCAAGCTCTTCTCTTTGAGGATTTTTTTTTTTTTTTGCTTTTTGGTGAGGCCATCAGGGTTAAGTGACTTGCACAGGGTCACACAGCTAGTAAGTGTCAAGTGTCCGAGGCCGGATCTGAACCCAGGTCCTCCTGAATCCAAGGCTGGAGCTCTAGCCACGGCACCACCTAGCTGCCCCTCTTCAAGGATTTCTTAGGAGAATTTCCAGACTTCCCTGTTGCTGTTGGCTCCTGACAGCCGTGGGGTCTTCCCCTACTCCTCCCTCCCTCACTCCCCCAGACCCAATCCGCTGCCAAGACTTTTCAGCTCCATCTTGTCTCCACCCTGGGGCAGGCCCTGCTCCCCTCATGCCTGGCATGCCTGGACCACCGTAGCTGCTGGTGAGTCCGGCTGCCTCAAGACTCCCCCAGCTCCAATCCATCCTCCAGTCGACAGTCAAAGTGATCTTCCTAAAAACCAAGTCTGACCACCTCATTCCCTTCAATCAATGTCAATGGCTCCCCATCACCTCCAGGATCAATCCTCGGCTTGACTTTCAAAGCCCTTCCTAATCTGGCCGCCCCCACACTCCAGTCTTCTTACACCTTACTCCTCTTCACATCTGGGATCTAGTGACACTGGCCTCCTCTCTGGTCCTCCAACATGACACTTCCTCCCCCAACTCCAAACATCTGTACTGGCTGTCCTCCACGCCTATAATTCTTTCCCTTCTCATGTCCACCTCCGATCTTTCTTCGAGTCTGAGACAAAATTTCAGCTTCTGCAAGAAACCTTTCTTAATCTTTCTCAATGCAAGTGCCTTTCCCTGAGATTATATCCAATTTATCCTCCTTGAAAGCAGGGACTGTCTTTTATATTACCCTTGTTTGTATCAGCACATAGCACAGTGACTGGCACATAGTAGGTGCTTAATAGATGACTGGTGATTTGACTTCAAAATTTACAAAGAACTCTATGGCCTTCCCCTGCATATGTCTTTGGCTCTCTTGTGACTAAGGCACTTGTCTGCTTAATGAATTTGGTCACAGACTTTGAGCATACGTCAACATTATTAGCCTAGAACCACACTCCATACCAACAGGAGAGTTATAAATCATCAGCAAAGAAGAAAACACTTCCATGACATTAACCTCAGCAAGACTACATTTAAAATTGCATGTGGACCATTTACCTTCACTGAACTCATTTAGCAGCTCATCTTTGGTCCAGTTACAAGAAGTGATGAGAAAGAAGCCTTTATCTTGCAGTGCCCTGGAGAGAGATTTCACATACTGCTTTCTCTTCTCAGACGCACTGTCAGGATTCAGGCTTATGGCATCAAAGGTTCCTTTGTCGATGCAAACATGAAATCCAGATAGTTTGGTGGAAGGATTCAAAAAGTCTTCCGCCTAAATTTACAAAATATATTTGAGTAATTGTAATTAACACAAATCTTTCCTTGGCTCTAGATAACTACACAGAATACTATGGAACGAATTATCAGTTAATCCTCATCATGTTTTACTTTTATGAGACACTCTGTATCAAAATGTTAAAGACTCCTTTGAAATACTAAATAGCTTTTAGAAGATCAGATTAGCTCCCACCAGCCAGATCACTAAAGAAGATTCATGCTGTTTCCACTGCACTCCAAACCTCTACCATTTAGAGGAGATACAGCCAGAAAAATCAAAGCCAGGTGTCCTGTTAACAGTAAAGTGAATTATGTGGGGATCACAGGCCTGGTCTACTAAAAAGCTAGCTGTGCTCTTACTTTCCAAATTGAAAAATAACATGATTAAGCCACAAATAGAAGACTAAGACTAAAACCTCCAAGTTCTAATTCTGGTTCATCAAGCAACAGTAGATATGGGAAATCAAAAGCTTGCTTGGCTTCATTTAACCATTTATAGTCATACTTAGTGGTTGCAAGGTTTAAAGAAGTAAATGAACAAGTATAAATCATAAGTAATGAAAATACATTGAGGAACATTCTGCCTTTCAGAATTCAAGCTAAGAAACAATTTTCTCCTTCATTTGTTGTACCTTATTAATCTATAGTGAGAATACTTGCTTTTAGAGTCAGAGGATGCCCAAGGTTCCAGCCAGATCTAAACCTCACTCTATGATCCTATAAAATGGGCTCAAATTACAGCTGTCCTCATCACTGCCTCTGGGATACACTGGGCTGCTTTCTGAGCCTCATTTTCCTGATCTAGAAAATGAGACTGCAACAGGATCTCCAAAGTTCCTTCTAGTTATAAATCCTACAATCTTAAGTGGATCTTAATAGTGGTCTGGATGATAAAAATAATTTTCTAATGTCAGATTTTCTAAAGTAGATTTAAAAGTTGGTGGTTACACTTTACAACAAATAGATTTCTACATTTTGAAGTGTGCAACCTTTTAAAAGTCAATGTTAGTCAACTCCATTATTTTTATAAAATGAATAAAGTAGTTCTGCCTAGATAAATACTCAAGTCACCTACATTTGGCTTTGGAATGTGTTATTGCAGTCACATCTGAAAATATGCCGGCTTTTTTCGTAGCAAAAAAACTGCCAACAAAGTAGATACACATCATCTGGGGAAAGGCTGAACAAGCTTTGTATATGAATAAAATAGAATACCACTGTGCAATTAAAAGATGACTGAAGAATTCAGAAAACCAAAAAGTTTTCTATGAACTGATGCAGTGAAGTACGCAAAACCAGGAAAACAATGTGTAAAAGAACAATTAAAAAACAGTAAAAGGCCACCAAACTCAGAAGAATTATCACGGCCAATCTCTGTCCTAGAGAACAAATGATAAAACACATCTCCCCCACCTCCTCCTGCAGGAAGGATGAGATGCTGCATCTGCTCATAGAAGTGTGCTTTGTGTTGGCTGGTTTTACCTATTTGGTTACATGGGTACATTCAATGATTTAGGGAAAGGAAATGAGTATATCATGAAATGACTGGTGTAAAAACATAATGTCAACAATAAATCTTCTTTTAGGAATAAGTCAAGTGATCTGGATACTTGAAACAAAATCACAAAGCTGTCAAGGAAAGAAATGACTAACAAACACCAGCAAAGATACTCAGCTTCCCCAGCCCAGAGGCAGAAAAATCGAGTCAAAGGCCTCAGGATCCCGAGAATTTGATTCTGTAGGTCTCTGACTTCCTCCCCCATCGGTATAATTTACTTAGACTTTTTCCAAAAGGACAAATACCTTCCCCCAAACTACGTCCTTGCTGTAATATACACATTCATTTCAAGTCACATCACTTGTAACTGAGCCCAAAATAACTACACCTGCATTTAAAAGAATGTAGTATATGAAAAAAGGGGCTGATGAACATATAAATGCTTTCATTTTTTTTTTACCATTAATAACAATAAATTTACCTGTAACTTAATGTTAGGTAAACCTTCCTTTTCTATTATTCTTCCAGAAAGCTGTATTGCCAAAGGAGAGTAATCAATTCCAGTAACATCAGAGTATCCCAATTTTGCCTAAAGATAAAAAAATTAACAATGTATTCTGTATGATAGATACTATTTAGCCTATGTACTCACATCGCTTTAGGGATTTTTTTAATACAACCACAAGTGACATATAATCTATTGAATATTAGTATATAAATATTTGTAAAGGGGTGGGAATAGGAGCCAAAAACTTAAGTCCAAATACTATAACAATTTATTCCCTTTCACGCTATCTGGCTTCTTCTTCAAAAGAAATCATCCTTTTCTCAAACACTCCAAAATAATGACAAAAAGGATTTCCTCAGAAAATCAGCAGTTTCAGATTCTGATATTGATATTCACCTTTCCACAATCAAAACGGACTCAATGAAACGATGTGAACAAATTCAAACGAAGCTTCACACGTCACTGTTTTTAGCACTTCTTGGTCTTCAGAGGCATCTCCCACATAACAACCTGGGAGTTGAGCAGGACAGATGTCACTGGCACTCCTGTACAGAGGAGGTCTCTTCCCCGAGGCTCCAAGAAGCTTAGTCTGAGGCCACACCCTGGTAAACTGTCTCAGCAGGCTGAGGATAGCCGACAGGCCTCAAACCCCCAGGTGAGGGGGGAGTTTACCCCAAGCACGTAAAGGCTTTCCACGGCAGCACTGGCAGCATGGGCGGATGACAACAATTTGTTCCAAAGGCCATGAAGGGGGCTGAAGCAGGCGCTGTGGAGCATGGTCGTCCACTAGATCCCATCGCCAGTCACCTTGACTTCTGTCCCGCCACTGACTCCAGCGCCTCTGGAGGAGAGAGTGAGGCTGATGACTTTGTGCAACTCTGCCTCCCTTAAATCTAATTCACACGCAAGTCAAGACACCCCCGATGACGTGATTGGTCCTCTTCAAAAATGAAGGTCTGACAGATGAGGAGACTGAGAGGGAGGTTGAGCTGCCAGAGGTTGTCAGGTGCTCCAGGGGTGGGGGCCAGGCGGTGTACAGCAAGGCTGACAAGGAGGCAGGGCCATCTCTAAGCAGTCCAAGCTCAGAAACAAATTAGCCCACAATTCGTGGCTCTCTCCAGATCACCGACGAGTCTAAATCGGGGGCTCTTAACCTTCTTCCAGTGTCCAGGACACCTTGAGCAATCAAGCTTCTTAAACTCTTTTCACAATAATTTTTAAATGCATAAAATACAAATCATTACAAAGAAAACTAATTACATTGGAACAGTTACCAAAAAAATTGTTTTTAAAGTTCACAGACCCCAGATTAAGAAGCCCTGGTAAAAAGAACTCAAAACGAAAAATGCTATCCACTTCCAGAGAGGAGAACTGTGAGTGCAAACTGAAGTATACATTTTTTCACCTTATTTTTCTTGCTTTTTTTTTTGTTGGCAATATGGCCAATACAGAAATACGTCTTGCATGACTTTACATGTAAAATTGATATCATACCGCTGCCTTCTCAATGGGTGGGGGAAAGACTGGAAGGAGGGAGAGAATTTGGAACTCAAAATTTTAAAAAAAAATCTGAAAATAAATAAAAAATAAATTAAAAAAAACTTAAATAAACAGTTCAACTACTGAAGAAGAGAAAGAAACAAGCCTGGTAAAAGGATCATCAAATCAAGGTCAGCCCTGAGGAGGAGGGCCCCACTCCCTTCCCAGAGCAGCTCCCGTCACTCTCCCTGTGCAGCCTCCCTCCACAAGCCATCCTACACTCAGGGAACTCTGCACATTCAACAACACTGGCCTGGCCCTCGTTTGTCACATCCATGTCTATGTCCTCAAAGAAACACTAAGCATTCAAGTTACAGTAGGAACAACAGCCTACCTCCCACCCACCCCCAAGGAAGGCGGGCTAATTTTTCCATAAAAGTTACTGAGACCATCCCTGAGACTTGGCGGGCTGGGGAACTCGAGGCGCGGGCTGACGTCACTTCGTGGTCACGTGAGTAAAGACAGGCGCGCTCAGGAGAGGACGTATCACCTCAGCTCGATCAGCCTGAGGCTTCTCAATGCTCATCCTCGTTAAATATTCTTATCTCACTGTCACGGCTGAGCCAACCTCCTTTTGTCAACTATTTCACAATCCCCAAGTTCTCATTCTGTTCCTGTACTGAACCCTGAGTCTGGCCCAGTTCAAAATACAGGTACAGGGACTGAGTTCCTCCATTTCGCCCAGGCACTAGACCTCCTCCTTAAGGATCACTCCTGAGTGAACTGAGGCCAGCTAGAGGCTCAATTCTACCCAGTTTAAACATGGATTTTCTATGGGAAAAGGGTTTGGCTCTTGACACTCATGAGATAAGTGAACAATGAAGTTTTACCAAAGCACGATGTCATTGCTTCGGACACAGATGGTTAATATCACAGTTCTTTTGGAAGGCCACTTAATAGTTTGACTGCTACCAAGACACTAAAAAATACCAACCAGTTCAACCAGAAAGATGCCATTTCCAGTTCCAATGTCAAGCACTGAAGCATCCAAGGGGATCTTGCGTTTTTCCATCCACTTGATTAATCGGTTCATACTTTCTTCTCCAAACCTGCCAGGAAAAAAAAAGGACTCAAGTAATAAAAAACCAAGAGGGCCTGTAACAAGGGTAACAGCTACATTCTACCCAACTGGCTAAAAACACACTTGCAATTAGGACTTCTTTTAATTCAGATTGCAAATGTGGAAGAAAGAAGTTTTCAATGTTGGCACAACGACTGCAACTTAACCTTCACTCTGTGATGGGAGGGCGCACACTCTGAAGGACAAGAGGGTAGAATAGGCAGCGACTCTATAATTATAACAATTAGTGTTTTCTAGGTCACTGAAATTTTTACAATCTGGGAGCTGTTTCACATTGAAGAATGAATAACCACCAGATGGCAACAATTTAAAATCACTCAAGACAAAGTCAAACCTGAGATTTTAAAACAAACCACAGAGGCCATTACTTTTTCAGAACCTCCACAAACTTCAAAAGCTATCATTACTGTAAGTAATAATTAAAAGAATTGGAGAAGTACAAAGTTGGAAGGGACTTTGAGGACCAGATAGCCTAACTCATACCTAACATCACTGGAAAGACAAACAACTTTGAAAGACTCAGGAACTCGGATCAGCACAATGACCAATCACACAATTCTAAAGGCCCTGTGATGAAGCATGCCGCCCACCTACCGAGACACGAAGGTGACGGACACAAGAATGCCGACCGACACAGACCAAGGAGGGAACTGTTTGGCTTGATACATAAACGTGCGCGTGCGTGTGTGTGCGTGCGTGTATGTGTGTGTGTGTGTGAAAGAGAGAGAGAGAGAGAGAGAGATGGGGTGAGGGGAGACAGAGGAGAAGAAAGAGACAGAGAGGAGGGGAGAGAGAGAGAGAGAGAGAGAGAGAGAGAGAGAGAGAGAGAGAGAACGAACAATGGAAGTTTTGTTTTTCTTCTCAAGAGAGGAGGGGGGAAGAAAAGAAGGCAGATCTTTGTTGATTAAAAAAATAAAATGTAATGTAAATAAAGGGAAAAGCTTAGGACTACAGCTACATATCAAATGCAAGTATGTATGCAAAGTCAATTTCTAAACCTTAGACTCCTAGGTTTGGCTACTGACTGTCATGCAAAGCATCAGATACCCTTCAAGAACACCATCCCATCTCTGCCAGGGATTCTTCACCTGGGGTCTATGAACTTGTTTTTTAAAAATATTTGTAGGGTCAGCTAGGTGGCACAGTAGATAGAGCACCTGCCCTGGATTCAGGAGGACCTGAGTTCAAATCTGGCCTCAGATACATAACACTTACTAGCTGTGTGACCCTGGATAAGTCACTTAACCCCATTGCCCAAAATAAATAAATAAATAAAGATATTTGTACAAATGTATTTCAATATAACTGTTTTCTTTTGTAATCCTAAGTATTTTATTTTGTGCACTGAAAAACCATTATTCTGGGAAGGAATCCACAGCCTTCACAGGACAGGAGGGGTCCACGACACTGACAAGCTTGAGAACTCCTGACTCTATGCCTGTATCCAAGAAAACTGGTAAAAAGCGATAAAAATGTTGACAGCACCAAAGACAGAGGTTCCTTTTCCTCATGTCTGACTTCTGCTATAGAATTTTAGTTCAGAAAAGCCAGTGGACCATTCTCCGAACCCTTGGCAACTGCTCTCCTAAAATCTCCACTGGCCCGTCAGGCTATGCCCAGATCTCCTCACCTTCTCTATCACAACATTGGAGATGGCTTATTTAGTGGCCTTCCCAATACACATACATCCATTCTGTTTCAGCAATCAGCTCCCCTTCTCACTCCCTCTTGCTCTTGAGGGACTAAACCATCCTCAAGCTTAGTCCAGAAACAATTGGTCGTTCCTCTCTTCACAGAAAGAGCTTCCACAGAAGTCTAGAGAGTTCCCACCCCTCAATCACTACTGTAAGTTCCCAAAGTCCTCATCCAGTTCCTCTTTCTGCAGTCCATGCCAGGCACAGCAGGCTGCCTCTACCTCTCTCTGTTGATCTTTACAGAAATTCTCTCCCCTCTGATTGCTGGATTTCTTCAAGACTATATCTTTTTAAAATGTGTTTGTTATCATGGCCAGCCAGGATTCCAGAGACTGAAGACGAAGCACGCTACGCATCCCTGATGATGACAAATTCAGCGAGCAGAATGTAATAAAAATGTGTGCTGGACATGGCCAAAGCGGCAGCAATTTTGTTTCGCTTGACCATATGTATTTGTTACAAGCTTTTCTTCCCCACAGATTTTTGAAGAAACAGATTTTTGTTTGTTCATTGAACAAACTCTCTCTTGTTGCTTTTCCACCTACACCCTCCCCCAACAGACCTTGCTCTCCTCTAGCACCTCATCCTAAGGCAACATCACGGTCATGAGTCCTCTCTCCAAAAATCCACCTATGCCCTTTCTTTCCCTGGTTCTGTGTTAGGAACCCTCCTTCTGCCAACGTACCTACAACCTGGAAATCTTAGAAAGCTCCCTGGAATACTAAGAGACTCAGTCACTTTGTCAGAGGGTAAGACTTGAATCCAGGTCTTCCTGACTCCATTAGCCCATGCTGCCTCAGAGGCCACTTGACTCCTTGCACTAGGATTTATGGTTTTCATTCTTAGAATACAAGCATCTAAGGTCATGGGTGCCAATGCTGGCTTTCTTAGACCTCGTCTTCTGTAAATTTCCCATCATCTCTATTGCTATTTTTCTGACGTTGTAGCTATTAACCACAGTAACCAGCTTCGTAGACATACGAATAGCCAGTGTTGTCCTTCGTTTTCACTTTAAAATCCTATTTATTAGATCTGTAAGACTCTAGGCATCTTAGGCATCCGAGACATCTGGGCCATCTTACCAATCAATTAACTATCTGTGGGCCAGGCCCTGATCAAAGTGCTGAGAATACAAAAGAAAAAAATTAAATAGTCCCCATCCTCAAGGGGCTTACAGTCTGTCTGGGAAGTCAACATATATACATCCAAGTACCTAACAAAATTAATAAAAATCTCTTTGATGAAGGGGACACACTAGGAGCTGAAGGACCGGGAAAGGCTGCATAGAGGAGGTGAGAAGGGAGAGCACCCAGTCCAGCGTGGAGACAAGAACAGGAATATGGTCAGTCTAAGGAGCCTGGAAAGGCAGGGGAGGCCAGGCTGTGAAGGCCTTTGAATGGTGGAGGAGTTTGTATTTAATCAATGATTTATTGATTGTATCTATTATTTATTTTTTTATGTGCTGGATTTAATCAATGATTAAATCAATGATTTAATCAATCACCTGATTGACAAGCATCTCTAATATGTACCTTGACCGTACAAAAACAAAAGCCAAACAGTCCTTGCCCTCAAGAAGCTTCACTCAATCAAGGAAGACAACAGGTCCTTACGGGGCAGACACAGATTAAAGCGATAGAACCCAATACTGGAGAGGAGGACTTCATGAAGAAGGAAATCAGGCCAGTCTGAAGGGACCATCAGCTGAGGTGGGTGCCCTGAAAGAAGACAGCAAAGTCAGGCCGGGGCCTCCTGAGCTACTGGGAGCTGATGCCCTGCACCAGAAATGGGCTTTGGGAACGAGACAACTATCTGAGGGGTACCCCATCGTGGGCAAGGACCCCCCCTGCTCCTCTGCGTCTGCTGACCCAAAGTCCAGAAATCTAAGGCTCATTCACAGACACCGTCTTCTTGAGCAACCGTTCGTTTCGCACTTTAAGGAAAGTTTGCTTAAAACGTATTGGCAAAGGCACCGGCTCTGGGTCATGATCCCTTTTTAAAGCCACTTACCATACTTCCCCCGAATCTCCACGTTCTTGAAAAGCCTGCAGTTCTCTCTCGTATACAGCATCCCAGCTACGTGAGAAAGAAGACACAGGTCACGCTCTTGATCTAATCTCACCAAACAACGAAGCCTCAGGGCAGGAAGCACACCCAGGGCTCCCGCAGGCGTGCAGAGCCTCAGGTTTGCTCCCGGGGGGCCGGGGCCAGAGGGGAGCGAGGCCGCCCGGGAAGATCGCGTCGGTGCAACGCACGAGGCTCGGCCCCGAAGGGGGACGGGGGAAAGAGGGAGGAAAGCGGGCAGGCTGGCGGGGGGCCCGGGACCCCACGGAAAGCCACGAAGCCTGCGCGCCTGCCCCCCAGGCGCGGACGGGGGTCTCGGAGCCGCGTCGGACGAGACGCAGGAAGGGGCTGCAGGACCACGACGAGGGGGGGCACGGGCTACAGGGGCTGGAGCCCCCCGCCCCGCCCCCACCCGGCCTTCCCGGAAGCCCGACCCGGCGGGAGTGGGGGGGAGGGGGAACACGGGCAGCGGGCGGCCCCCAGAGCGGCTTTACCGGAATGAAGGGCGGGAGGGGGAGGGGAGAGAGGATGGATGAGGGGCGGCTGGCCCCCCGCAGCGGCCCCGGGGCGCCGCACTCACTGTTCTCGGGTCCCCAGGGCCGAGGGCGCGAAGCTTCCCTCCTCCTCCGCCTCCATGGTCTCCGGCAATCCCGTCCCATGGCGGCCGTTGGGGGCCGCCATTGAGTGGGCGTGGCCAGCCGGGCCGCGCCTGCGCCCTGCGCTCCCCCGCCCCCCGCCCCGGGCCTCTCTAGGCCGCCCGGAGCCGCTCTGAGCCGCGGGAGGCCTCCCTCTCTACTGCTCCGGCCCCGGGACAGTGACGTCATCCCGAGGCAAGGCTGGAGCCCCGTTTGGGGAGGTGGGGGCTGCCTCCTCTTGAGCACATCTCTCCGGCTCTGTCTCTGTCTCCCTCTCTCTGTCTCCCTCTCACTTTCTGTCTCTGTCTTTCTCTTTCTCTTTCTCCATTCCCTCTCTCTCCTTTGTCTCTGTCTCTCACTCTATTCCTCTCTGTTTCTATTTCTGGCTCTGGCTCTCTGTCTTTGTGTCTCTTCCTCCCCCTCTCTCTGTCTGTCTCCCTTTCTCCCTTTGTCTCTCTGTGTGTCTCTGTCTCTCTCTCTGTGTCTGTCTTTCTGTCTCTCCCTCGCTTTCCTTCTAATCCTCTGTCTCTCTGTTTTTCTCTTTCTGTCTTTGTCTTTCCCTTCCTCTCTCTTTGTCTCTGTCTCTCTCTATCTCTCTCTGTCTCTCTCCCTCCCTCCCTCTGAGCCCATTACCCGACATCCTTAGCCAGGTGTCCCCTCCCTGCTCCAGGGGACAGACAGTGTTTCTGGGGCTTTCATTCCTCTTCTCACTCCCACCCTTCCAGAGACCTGAAGCTCCCTGAGGGCAGTAGGGGCAGTCACCTGTTTGCCACCCCAGCTCCCCCCCCCCCCGGCTCCACCCCCTTGCTGTGGCCAGGCTGCCCCTGAAATCTCCCACCTGCTCTGGCCATGGGGCCACCCCCACCCAGGGGGACTCAGCAGGTGAGCATAGTCCACCAACACCTTCCATCCTAGCTACATCCTCCCAAGGAATCTCTGGCTGGGGGGAACCCACCAGGGAGGGGCCCTTAGCTCTCTTGACACTGAGCGGGCACCCCTGGCACCCACCAGGCCCACTTGGGTAGGCCCCCTTCTTGCTAAGTACCCTACTCAAGGCCCATCTTGTAAAATGACTTTCAATCATACACACATACACACACACACACACACACACACACACACATACATATAATCTATTAGATAACTATATAATATATAAACATATATACAATTTATTAGATACACAATGGTGTTAACAACTTAGGTATGTACATACTGTTCTCCTACCTCCACCTTATTCAGATGTAACCTGCAGGAGCCCAAGCAGAGTACAAAGCATCTCTTAGCTTCCCAGGAGTACAAGGGTTGGTAGATCTCTGGCCCTGAATTGAGGAAGACCTGGGTCCAAGTCTCCTCTCTGACTTGTGTTAGGAGTGCGATCCTGGTCAAGTCACTGCCCTCTCAGGGCCCATCTCGCCCTCTGCCTGACGCTTCTGATCTGCTCCTCCACACTTGGACGAGCACCTTCCCGCTGAACCTCCAGACTCCGTGGTCCCAGTGCCTGGAGAAGGTAAGTGCTCTTCTGCCTGGTGCCTGCAGACTGCTCTATCCACGGCCTGGGCCTGGACACCAGACCGGGCTTCAGCTTTGCCTACCCAGCCATCCGCGCCTGCTCTCTCACTGTCTGCTGTGCCCCTCACCGCACTCCCTTTCCACCTCCCCGAACAAAACCTTCCCTGGTCACCGTTGCCCAATACTGATTGCCATCTCCAAGTAGAATTAGAGCTCCTTGAGCGCAGGAACTCTCTCTTTTTTAAAAAAAAATCTGTATCCCCAGCACTTTGAATGAACATACTATTCATTGGGCAGCTAGGTGGAGTAGTGGATAGAGCACAGGCCCTGGAGTCAGTAGGACCAAGGTTCAAACCCAGCCTCAGACACTTATCAGCTGTGAGACCCTGGATAAGTCACTTAATCCTATTTGCCTCAGTTTCCTCATCTGTAAAATAAGCTGGAGAAGGAAAAGGCAAACCACTGCAGCATCTCTGCCAAGAAAACAAGTCGGACATGACTGAAACAATTAAACAATAACAGCATTCCTCAGATGCTTTCTATGGGCAAAGCAATGCTCTAAGTGTTCAGATTCAAGCAGAAAAGTCAGACTGTTCTGAAGGAGCTTACATTCTGATGGGGAAGGTTTCAGCTGGAAAGGTCCCTTGGTCCTAGGGTACACAGACGCATGACTTAGAGAGTCCTGTTCAATAGGCTGGCCCTTCCCTGGAAGACGGTCATCTATCAACTCCAGGACAAACACCAGGAACAGAGCAGAGGTTTGTACACAACATCCCTCGGTCTGTCTCTGATACTGTCAGTCGTGAGGGCTGGTGGAAAGTTATGGCAAAGTTCAGTCGCCCAGAGAAGTTCATCAGTATCGTAGATCAATTTCATGACAGCATGTTTGCCCAGGTTCTAGATAACGGGTGATGCTCATGTACCTTCTCAGTCACCAATGGCGTGAAGCAGGGAGGTGTACTTGCTCCCATGCTTTTTGGTATGGTGTTTTTAGCAATGTTGTCAGGCGTTTTCAATGAGGAGGAAAATGGCATTAAGGCCAACTACTGCACTGATGGTGAACTATTTAACTTGAGAAGTTACAAGCCAAGACTAAAATGGAAGGAGGGTTGGTGCGTGATTTTTTGGTTTGCAAACGATTGTGCACTCAATGCAGCCTCTGAGACTGAGATGCAACAAAGTATGGATTGATTCTCTACTGCTTGTGCTAATTTTGGCCTAACACTTAACACCAAGAAAACATAGTCCCTTCGCTGGCCAGCACCACACCACCCATAAGTGAAACATCAGTTACAGCAGATGGAGAAATTTTAAATAATGTGGATAAGTTCACTTACCGTGGCAGTATACTTCCCAGGGATGTGCACATAGACAAGGAGGCTGACACACACACTGCCCAAGCTAGCTTAGTGTTTGGGAGGCTCCAAAGGAAAGTGTGGGAGAGACATGGGAGAGGCTGGCAAAGGATGGCCCAGCATCGCATGCCCACATTAAAGAAGGCTCTGTGCTCTATGAGTGAAGCAGAATTAAAGTAGCTCAGAAGAAATGTGAGATGCACAAATTTAGAGACATCTCCACTTTAAATGTTCACACGGACTATTTGTGTCCAACCCGTGGCAGAACCTTCTGAGCTCGTGTTGGTCTGGTCGGCCGCAGTGGACACACTGTACCTTGACTCTAACAGAGTGATGTCATTTTGGTCCTCATTGAGAACAGAGGACAACCAACCCACAGCAACAGAGCAGATGGTAATGCCTCCTCTCTGACGTCATTTCTGCTAAAAAATCATATTAGTTTCTAATGTTGAACCATGTGACAATGTCAAGGACTTTGGTGGCAAGAAGTTCTTTTTCAGCAAGAAGCTGTCTACCAACTCTAGGCCGGGGAGCTTGACTTTGATTCCTGGAAAAATTCTCGGGTGGATCATTAAAGAGATGGCTTATACTCTCTGATGACAAAAAGGCAGCCTGTCTAAGGCGGCCAGATCATGCCAAGCTAAAACTTCTTTCCCTTTGTAACAGTCTCACTAAACAAGCAGACCAGAGGAATGCTGTCAATAGAGTTTATTTCTTCTTGTTGTTGAGTCATATCCAAGTCTTTGTGACCCCATTTGGATGTTTGTGGGCAAAGATACTGGAGTGGTTTGCCATTTCCTTCTGCAGTTCATTTTACAGATGAAGAACCGAGGCAGACAGGGCTAAATGACTTGCCCAGGGTCACGCAGCTCGTAAGTGTCCAAGGCCAGATTTAAACTGTGGTCTTCCTGCCTCCAACCCCAGCACTCTATCCACTGTGCCACCTGGCTGCACCAAGTTTATTTAGAGTCCAGCAAGGAATTTAATAAGGTATTTCATACTATTCCATCCCCACCCCAATCAAGGTAATCACTGAAGGCTAACAGACCTGGATTTAATCAATCAGTCTAGGGCATAGGGGTTCGATGGGTTAGAGCTAATGTTAGACGTGGGTTAGAGTATAATTGGAAAACTTGGTGGAAAAAAACTTTAATAAAACTTTTAATAAAAAGGAGGAAGGAAATTCTTTGTTCATTAAATGAAGACAGATGAGCGCTGCAGAAAATGTCTTGTGGTGGGCTAAAAGAATCAGAAACACTACAGGGCCAATACATGACATAGCAAGTCAGTTCAAAGGCAAGCCACAGTGAGTCACGTAGAGATTGAACCCAATGGTGGAGGTCTTCTAAGAAAAGAATTGGGGCAGGAGAATTGGATGAATTGAATCTCTCCTACTAGTCCTCTCCCTGGACCAAGGGACTACCTTAGCACAGTGCCTGGCACATAGTAGGTGCTTAATAAATGTTTATTGACTTACTGACTTTGAAAAGCCAGAAGATCTGGAGTTTCTATCATTAGAGTCCAGCAGTGGCTGCACTGGGTGCTCAGTGACACATCAAGGACAAGCTAGGCATATTGAAGAAAGGTAGCTTCAGGACTCGTTAGAGTGGCACTAACCCTCAAGACCCAGCAAAGAGCTACACCTATGGAGAACATCATTAGGACTCCACAAAGAGAAAAATGGGCTTCTGGTACTGAGGAATTGTGAGTTTACCCTATGATCCCATGTGTTATCTCAATTTGAGCCCAGTCTCCCCAGGTACCTAGTGTGTGCAAGGGGAGAGTAAAGCTCTGTTTGGGGATAATGTTTATGTAACAACTTTCCTTGCTATACCTGCTTAATAAATACCCTTCCTAAAAGCAATTAACTCTGTCTGATAATCAATAGGAAGCACTTCAGTGGGGGCTCATGAGCAACAGTACTAGAAACACTTCATCCTCCAGGTGACCACTAGAACTCTAAGGAGAAGTAATTGCCCTCTGGGAATATGGCCTCCTGCTTCAACTGGAAGTTGTAGGGAAGTAGCATCCAAAGGGTGGATCCTATTCTTGTGGAAAAGGTGAAGAAATATGTACTAGGCTGGTGATTGCTGTCCTGAATGCT